TTCATCTATCCTTCCGTTTTCTACTAAATCTTTACTAAATTGGAGGTAATAAAAGGAGTAGAAAGACTACATGAACAATATATTATGGTTCCAGTATACAAGGCTTGCAACAATAACGTCTTTGTTTGTAAGACTCATTATTATAAATGTATTTTAGAATTCTACGTCTGGAAATCCATCTTATTCTCACAGTTGACTCAGAACTCACAGTTCACTCTCTAAGGATAAAATTCTTCAAAATCACATTTCAGTGTTTAATACTTTTGATATTCCAGTCAAACAAGGTGGGTTCGATCTTCCTTACCTATACTGGATTCCTAAACTTCATAAAAATCTTTAAGACTTTTCTACACTTTATACAACCATCCCTCACGATAAATTAGAAAGTAGGCTTTTTAAAATCATACAGAACTGCTTCTTCAGTAAAAATGAAACTCGGAAATTTCATATCTTGTGATTGGTCATCAACAAAATTCTCTGTTAAAAATCACTCTGATTCTGTACAAAGGTACTCTGAAGAGGATATCAAAAGGATGCTTGAGTTCCTCATTGACAACATTTATGTAGTCTTCAGAAACACTCTCTGTGGCCCTCAACTCGGCATTCAGATACTAGTATATCGCTTTTCCTTCGTCAACTTTCCGTATTTATGTAGTAACATTCTGATATGACCTCTATGTGGTGTTTACGTCTCCCAGCTTATTCGATAGTCAAAAGCATGCCCTGAATACAATCAAATTTTAAATCGAGGCATGTTACTGACAGATAAGTTGATGTTACAGGGATTGCAACAGACTCATTTAAAGTCAGCATTTCTCTGGTCGTTATAATGACCTTGTTAACCAAAAAAAAAACAAAAAACAAAACAAAAAAAAAAAAAACAAAAAAAAAAAAAAAAACTATATATGGGTCGTATTTTAGCAGACGTATTTTATACCAATTGTTAGGCCTTCGCTTTTATACTAAAGAATAAGGACGCTTTTGATTGGCATTCCACAGGAATCTGGGCGCACTTGAAAAGTGAAAATTTCATTGATCTGTCACATGAATTTTTGCATTCATTTGATGTATCGGGTTCCTGTGAAATAGGAAAGGGAAATATTTTCTCGATATTGTATTTTGATTTGCTAAAAAAAGAAGGAAATTGGCAAGATGAGTCATTTTGTACAAAATGTTACATTTTTAAACACGTTTTTTCTAAAAATTTGCTATCTCTGGGTCATTTCTCCATGATATTGAAACATTATTTGTGTGCATTTTAATTCAAAGAAATTAACAAACCTTTCTAAAAAAAAAAAATGGAAAGAAGACCCAGAGACAATAAAAATGAACTTTTCCCAAAAAAAATCCAGTGTGTAAATGCGTTGCTTCATTGTCGCTTTAAAAACCATAAAGTGAGTAGCGGTGATAGCTCAGTAGTTTGCGTTGCCCGTCCAGTGCAATGAAATAGAAATATTTTTGGTTCGATCCTCGCATGGATCTAAAAATATTTTTTTTTTAGTACAAACAATCAATTCTTTTGTCAGTTTAATTTAATGTACTGATTTATTTTCAAATAGATAAATTCTGGTTCTGTTGCAAAGAAAGCGAAAGCAGTTCTTCCAACCTACTGATACTTTAATGTATACATATAATTGCATTTAACTATACCCTATAGGTGTTTATTATTTATGTGAAGCGTTACTAAGTTTTACATGTAGTAATTATTAAGATAAGCGGAGTGATATATTAAATTTGACAAAGTATTTCAAACTAAATATATTATTTTCCCATGTGCGTAGCTTTGTAGAGTATGTTCAGCTGTGGTCAGCCGACCAAATCGTAGACATTTAAACTATAAATGTTTCGTACACCTTATTCCTGCAGATCACACGCCAAACACGCCCATCTTCTTTAACTATGGAATGTTCCGTATACCAGATCAATACAGAGCTCACAGCGTGTGTGACCGGTGAACAGAGGATGCATATTCCTTCTAGGCACCTCATCCCACCTCTGAATTTTCGGTGGTCCGTGTTTTAGGCCCTGTTCACATATTTGTATTGTTTGTACATTTTTTGAGATCGATCAGTGTTCGTAATCTTTACCTTTTTATTGCAAGTAAAATCTGCATGTCCATGGGTTGTATTTTCCCTTATTTGTTTCCTGTCAGTTGCTAGGCCATTGATTTGACTAAGGACTACTCCGCTTACCTGATCAATGCAGAGGGCTCACAGCGGGTGTAACCGGTCGATAGGAAATTCTTACTCTTCTTAGGTACCTGAATCTACCTCTGGTGTTTCCAGGGGTTCACATTTTTGCCTTTTTCACGATTCTAACTGTTACAGAATATATGAATGAAATATGAAGATAACAAACAGTATTCAAGCTCAAAAGTCCATTCAAACAATGCAAATCAGGAGCAGAGCAAACGCGGACCTCTAAAACATCAAAGGTGGGATCAGGTGCCATGGAGGAGTGAGCATCCCCTGGCGACCAGTCTCACCCGCCGTGTGCTCATTGTCATGATCGAGAAAAACAGAAAAAATCCGTAGATAATTCAGTGTGTAAATAGTGGCCTAACAATAGTATGAAAAACGTCAGTCAGCATTTGACCTAATGATACATTGTATTTGCTGACAAGGTCATTCTATCGACCACAGAACTTGATAACTTTAAGCGAGACTGTTGATATTCTTGTTTCATCAACTTGTTTGTCAATAGCTTGCTTCGTTTAGAAATTGTTCATAGGTAGAGCATGTTCTGTGTATCGATTCAACTGAGAGGCATAAATCCCATATGCAGGTGATAAGGGTATATTGCTACATAAATAAGGAAAGTTGACGATTGAAAAGTTGAAGTAATGACGTTTATCAGTAAGTTTGGTTGTTAGGTTAGATTACTGTTAACGTCTTTTTCTAGAAAAATATCCAAATATGAAACAGATGTGTCAGACTCTGTGGTATCTTTCATTTCAATCTCACTGGGATAGATCGAATCGACGTATGAATGGAAGTAACTATTGATAATAATTGATAATACATCATCGATATATCTAAATATCGATTTGAAGGCCACATCAAGTGTTTTCTTTTTATCATGTATAAGATTTTGAATAAATTCTGCTCCATACGAATACAAAAATAGGATCTTCTAATTACGGGGCGCTATTGGTACCCATGGGATTTCCGACAGCTTGTTGGAAGACCTGGGACCCTTTTTACAAAAGAACTTCGACTACGACCAAAATTGTGTACTGCAGATAACTTTCTAATTTACATTAAATTGAAAATGGGTTTATTCTTTTTAAAAGGAATCCAGAGAGATATTTTTACGTTAGAAATTTTAAACAAAATAATTAATTCTGCAAACTTTTACAATCAACAAAAAGTTTTGGTCTTAGTCTTTTAAAAGTTCTTTTGTAAAACGGGCCCCTGATCTCCTAAAACTACAGTTATTGTCAATCAGAAACTCAGGCATCTTTTTTAATGTCAACTTCAGAGTACTTATGTGTACAATCAGAATGTTTTTTTAACAAAATAATGTTGCAAATATTCAAGGACAAGGTAAGTAAATTTACGAGTTCCATTTTTATTGAAAAAGCAGCTGTAAATGATATCAAAAAGCTTGGTCTTTAATTTATCGTTGGGAATGGTAGTATAAAGTGTTGAAAAGTCGTACGTTTTGATGTTATTGATTTTGGTAAAATTCTGGGATTTCAAATTTTCTAAAAGTTCCTTGGAATTTTTAAGTATCCAAATCTGCTTTACACCACTTCTCGAATATATTGTTGTACAGTACTCCTGAAGTTTCTCCTTCACTGCTGTTAATATTTTAGTGAGAAGTAAAGAAAGAGGCTTTGTAGAACAATAACTGGAACTCACTATGTATCTTTCTTTGTAAGGATTTTTATGAAGTTTAGGAATCCAGTATAGGGATGATAATTCGAATTCATTTTGAAATATACACATGATTTTAAAGAATTTCCTCCTTAGAAAGGGAGGTATGGGTATAAGTTGGATTACCACTTGCAGAATAAAATCCCAGTTCCTCTAAAATGCGATTAAAATAATTAGCCTTGCAAAAAAGACAATGTTGTTACCTGCTTTGTCAGCTTGATTGCTTTTCGTCATATAAAAATGTTGATGATTTACCCTATCAATGTACATGTACTGAATTCAAACAAATAAATGTACATGTATTCTTTTATTTGTAGTCAACATATAGTCAATCCTTTATTTCATTCGATCGTAAATAATCGGAATCGCTGACTCGCAAATTTACTCACAGTCTCCGTTAACTTATACTCAGTGGCGAATATGCACATTTTACTGATAAATATATTAGCGCAACCTTCTAATTGTCTTCGATATATAAATATATTCAAAACTTGTAGTGTTCTCCATTGTTTTACCATTATTTCCACATTCACATTAATTTTTTTTTGGTTCATGTTGTGATAATCGCCTCCTTTTTCTTTTTTAACATCGAGCTCGATGTCATATGATCTTCTAGAAATTTCCGTCAAAATTAAGATCAGTGAATTACGAAAACGATTTGCACACGTTGCGTTTTAATCGGTTATCACAACTTTTTTCTTTTATATTACTTAAATCAAGTTTTGATTGAATAATTCAGTGATGACCTTTTATAAAATAAATAAACGATTGCTTGTAGTCAGTTTTATTAAAATTTGCCAGTGACTTAGATCCGCCAACCGGAACCACCACTTTACTCTCTTTTTTGCTATTTCAGGACTGATTATCGAAAATGAAAGTAGACTTTTAATTAAATTTACGATAATGAAATCTAAATATAGTTTACGGACATCACCTCATACTTTGTGTATACTTAGAGGAGCAAAACGAAATAACTCGTTTTAGGGTTTATTTGCAAAATCGATTAATTTATAAGTATAGATGTATATATTAATATATATTTTCAACATTTTCGGAACTTAATGTCTTTAACGAGATTATTTTCAACATTACATTTATTGTTGATGTTTGACGTGGTTCAAATGATCAAATTGACTCTATTTGTTTGCAAAATGGACTTAAATACTGCATGGATAGTCTTAGATATAGAACGTTACAACATGGTATTTATTTTTAATAATTATGTTACGCCACAGGCTGTCAAAATCAAATGTGCATGTTTAACATGTTTAGTGTGTACTTGACATCACGGCTCGTCTGTTGACTTGGATGTGCTGTTTCTTAACTTGTCGTTTTTACTTCAGGTTCAGATGTTTTGCTCCTGATGATAAGATATCTCTCTCATTATGATGACTGTTATGTCGGACAGCGATGAAGATCTACATGCTAATGAAGGTATACATATTTTTTCGCCCTTGCAATCCTGATCACGCATCACTGAGTACAGGTGTATACAACACTGAAAAAGTTATCAATACTATGGAACGCCAAATTAACATATTCAAATATCTGTATGAAATATGAGGATAAGGAACAGTATTCAAGCTCAAAAATCCACTGATAGAATACAAATCTGCGCAGAACAAACACAGACCTCTAAAAACATCAGAAGTTGGATAAGGTGCCACGGAGAAGTAAGCATCTTCTATCGACCGGTCACATCCGCCGTGTGCTCCTTGTTATGATCAGATAATCAGAAAAGTCCGTAGACAATTCAGTGTGAAAATAATAGCCGTAACGATTTGTATGAAAAATGTCAGTCAACATTCTACTTAATGATAGATTGTATTTGATGACAAGTTCATTGTTTCTATCCTCAAATTAATTGTAACTACCTCTAAGTAAATTAAAAACATGCTTTATACATTATACCTCTAATACCTATCTTGAAATTCATTAAGAGAAAGGTACAATTGATTTGAAGAAAGTCATGATGGAATTGAAGATAGATAATAAATACCAAGAATAAAAGATAGGTATAAATGATTTACAGATAGGTGCAGTTGAATTGATCCGAAGTATAATTGTTTTTTGTTTTTTTTACCTTCATTCATCTTTTATTTCCTCTATTACAGAGATTAGAATTATACATACAACGAATAAATTACAATGAACAAAGAAAAAAAAAAGTTATAAAGTGGAGATACATATGTACATATATGTAGTGAGAAAGAATGAATTACATGAAAGGTTGAAATTATTATTCACATATATTTTGGATATAAGAAGGTTTTAAATAAAATGATGGGAGCTGTGAAATTGATCTGATTGTTTAGTACTCTTTATAACTTAAATAGTAAACAATACAAACAAACTTTTTTATTATAATAAAAGGAGCACACATTTCGCATTATAAAATTATGGATTTTATTATTTTGTAGAATTATTGTAATGGTATACTGATGATTAGTTAAATTGTGATTATGGACTAGATTCTAGAATATGTATAGCAATATATCAGGCACCAAATTAGAATAAAACAATGACTTCATAAGCATGATGAAGGTAAAAAAAAAGTGTATATAGAGTGAAAATTGAAATGTTTTTCAGTAAGTAGAAACCTATGACCGATCAGCAACTAAATTAATTCCTAGAGACCTAACGGTCACGGTAGCCTAATAGTAGGTAGTTCACTTCGTGATCGGGAGGCTGGGTTTGACTCTCGTTCGCTGCGCAGCGTCAACCCTAAGACGTTAACATAACATAGGAAGTGACTGTTCCTTCGCCAAGCACTTGGCATTAGAGCTGAAAGTCACGGGTCTTTCGGATGAGAATTTAATAACCAAGATCCAGTGGTACGGTAGACCTTGGTATGTTAAAAAAAGCTCACTGCTCAATGACCCTGAGTATAGATATAAATTTGAAGCCCTTCACCGGCATAAGGTGACGTCTCTATATGAGCGAAAAATTCTCGAATGGGACGTGCAACGAAATAAAGCAATCAAGTGCTAGAGACCGTGCAAAATGTTTCTTGTAGAATGTAGAAGTTTGTCACGAATACAAGTACTGTGTCCCAATATCTATTTATGATAATTTACTTTGGTTCAGATTCCTCTTTGATAAAGGGAGAGAAATCAGTACGGGAACATGGAGTTGGGAAGATAAGTGGAAAAGCATGGGGGCGTGTCAAGGTCAGACTTAATAACAATGAAATTTGAATTAAAATGGAATTGCATCTATTTAATTTTTCCTGCAATTTTAATTGTCAAGTAAACTTATATAGCAAATGCATAACTCCATTCCTAGGAATGGTAAAATGCTGCTTAGTAGAGTCTGAGTTTCTTCCTTTCTTTTATTGTAGAATATAATGACTCGCTCCCAGAAATACCCCAACAGTGTATACTTCATTCTGGGAAATGAATTTTGTGAGAGGTTTTCCTATTATGGCATGGGAGGTAAGATAAAGACAATATCAAATCAAGGTATACATGTACATGGGCGAACAATCATTTGACATTCTAAATCAAATACATATAGTGTTTGCTTAGGTATCGCTTCAACAAATCCTTGTCACTGAAACATCAGAAAGAAAGTAGGACTGTAATCAGCTGATCTGTCAATAAAAGGGTCTCTAAAGAAATTGAGATTTGGGTTCTGTTGTCATGTATTCAGATATAAGCGTTTTAGGACGTTAATTTATATATTTAAGAACAATATTTCATTATGTAAAGATTGTATGCTGTTATGTCCCTCTTTAAACCCTGCATCATTGACATATTTGATATGTTTATTTCTGTTTATTTAGCTGTTTTGATCCTGTACCTGACTAACTGGCTGGGATTCAGTGAGGATGTGGGGACCTCCATATTTCACTCCTTTATCATGCTTTGTTACTTCACTCCACTATTTGGTGCCATATTGGCTGATGGATACATTGGAAGATACAAGTAATCATATACTGCAAACCAACGTTTATTTGCCTGCGGGAAATATTCTTCACTTCAGGGACCTTCTTTATTCGCGAACATTTCTCGCCGCCTCCATTAATTTCATTGTGCATTTATGTAAAATTTATCTACAATCATCTACAGTCTACATTTATGTATATCGAAGACGTATTGTCAATTAACAATGGTTATTTCCATTCTTATGTCGACACGATGTATCCCGGTGAGCTTGAGATAAAAGATACCACAGAGTCTGACACATCTGTTTTACATTTGGATATTTTATTAGAAAAAGACGTTAATAGTAATCTAACAACAGAGCTTTATGATAAACGTGATGACATAAACGTGATGACTTTTACTTTTCAATCGTCAACCTCCCTTACTTATGCAGCAATATACCTTATCATCTGCATGCGGGGTTTATATCTCTCGTTGATTTGATACGCCAGAGCATGCTCTACGTATGAATAATTTCTAAAACGAGGTAAGTTATTGACAAACAAGTTGATGAAACAAGAATATCAGCAGTCTTGTTTGGGGTCATCGTTTCGTGGGTTCTGTGGTTGATGCAGTGGCCTTGTCGGCGAATGCAGTCTTTCGTTGGATCAGATGCTGACTGACTTTTTTCATACTGATTGTTCGGCCATTGTTTACACACTGGGTTGTCGGCGGGGTTTTCCTTTGTTTCCCGGTCGTGGCAGGGAGCGCACGGCGGGTGTGGCCGGTCGCCGAGGGTGCTCCCTCCTCCGAGACACCTGATCCCACCTCTGATGTCTTAGAGGTCCGTGTTTGCTCTGCTCCTATTTTTTTTTATGTTTAATGGACTTTTGAGCTCGAATACTGTTCGTTGTCTCCACATATTTCATCTACAGTCATTAAAATTAAAAGTCGCGGATGGATTTCAAAATGACGAATTGCAATTAAAAATTTCATGAATAAAAGTTGGTTTACAGTATGCATATAATTTGTCGAAATGGGCATCTGGTGCATCGGTACCGTATATGGTTTATATATACTGTTGATATACTAACATTATCTGTAAGATATATTTGCTCTTTGTATAATACATTATTCCTACCTTGATTCCATATAACCATTTGAACTGGATATAAAAGACATCACAGAGTTTGACATACATATCTTGTACCACATTCATTCACTAATTTAAAAGGTCCTAAATTTAGGGAACCCAGGTCCTTCAACTGGCGTAAGAATTTCATAAATATTATGGATTCTGTAGAGGACTACGCCAGGCGATGGGCCAGACATGAAAAAGAAGACCTTGACACTTTGTCAGAATGGATTAAATGTATCAGATGTATGTTAAAATCGCGCATTAAAAGATTGAGAGGCAATATGAAAACCATCTATCCTTCTGTATTCAGTAATCCAGAAGTGAAAAAAGAATTAGATATTACATGTTCAGTACGTACTGGTCCCTGCTGACAAAGCAGGTAACAACATTGTCTTTGTTTGCAAGGCTCATTATATTAAATGTATTTTAGAGGAACTTGGATTTAATTCTACAAGTGGTAATCCAACTTATACTCATAGTTCCCTTTCTAAGGAAGAAATTCTTCAAAATCATATGTCAGTTTTGAATATTTTTAATATTCTAAACAACCAAAATGAATTCGAATTACCATATTTATACTGGATTCCGAAACTTCATAAAAATCCTTACAAACAAAGATACATAGCGGGTTCCAGTAAATGTTCAACCAAGCCTCTATCTTTACTCCTCACTAAGATATTAACAGTGGTGAAGGAGAAACTTCAAGAGTACTGTGCAACAATATATTCGAGAAGTGGTGTAAATCAGAGGTGGATACTTAAAAATTCCAAGGAACTTTTGGAAAATTTGAAATCACAAGATTTTACCAAAATCAACAGCTTAAAAACTTACGACTTTTCAACTTTATACACAACCATTCTCCACGATAAATTAAAGTCCAGGCTTTTTGATATCATTGACAGCTGCTTTTTCAATAAAAATGGAACTCGTAAATATACTTACCTTGTCATTGGTCATTTGCAAAATTATTTTGTTTAAAAACATTCTGATTGTACACACAAGTACTCTGAAGTTGACATTAAAAAGATGCTTGAGTTTCTGATTGACAATATCTATGTGGTTTTTGGAGACCAGGTCTTCCAACAATCTATTGGAATTGCTATGGGTACCAATTGCGCCCCGTTATTAGCAGACCTTTTTTTGTATTCATATGAAGCAGAATTTGTCCAAAATCTTGTACGTGAAAAGAAGAAAACACTTGCTGTGGCCTTCAACTCGACATTTAGATATATCGACGACGTATTGTCAATTAACAATGGCTATTTTCATTCTTATGTCGATACGATATATCCTGGTGAACTTGAGATAAAAGATACCACAGAGTCTGACACATATGTTTCATATTTGGATATTTTACTTGAAAAAGACGTTAATGGTAATCTAACAACCAAGCTTTATGATAAACGTGATGACTTTTTAACTTTTCAATCGTCAACTTCCCTTACTTATGCAGCAATATACCTTCATCACCTGCATACGGGGTATATATCTCTCAGTTGATTCGATACGCAAGAGCATGCTCTACGTATGTACAATTTCTAAAACGAGGTAAATTATTGACAAATAAGTTGATGAAACAAGAATATCAGCTGTCTCGTTTAAAGTCATCTTTTCGTAAGTTCTATGGTCGATACAATGACCTTGTCAGCAAATACAATTTATCATTGAGTCAAATGCTGACTGACGTTTTTCATACTAATTGTTAGGCCATTATTTACACACTGAATTGTCGACGGATTTTTCCGTTATTTCCCGATCATGACAAGGAGCACACGGCGGGTGCGACCGGTCGGCAGGGGATGCTCACTCCTCCATGGCACCTGATCCCACCTCTGATGTTTGGAGGTCCGTGTTTGCTCTGCTCCTATTTTGTATTGTATAATGGACTTTTGAGCTTGAATACTGTTCGTTATCTCCATATATTTCATTCGAAAGTTTCACTAGAGAAAGACATTGATGGCAAACTGAAAACTTATCTTTATGATAAACATGCCTTCAACTTTTCTATCGTCAACTTTCCTTATATATGTAGAAATATATAATTATCACCTGTATGTGAAGTTTATGATTCCCAGTTTAGTAAGCAAAAGCATGTTTTACGTGTGAACATTTTTTTTAAACGAGACAGGTTATTGACAAATAAATTGACGATACAAGGATATCAATAACTTCGTTTAAAGTCGACATTTCTCAACATTTATGGTTAATACAATGATTTTGTCTACAAATGCAATCTATTGTTAAGTCGAAAGTTGACTGACGTCTTTCATACAAATTGTTAAGCCATTATTTTCACACGGAATCTCCTCCTTTTTGACATTTACCTGATCATGACAAAGAACATATGGCGAGTAAAACTGGTCCACAAGGGATGCTTACTCCTTCATGGCACCTCTCTGAGATTTCAGAGGTCTGTGCTGTCTCTGCTCATAATTTGTTTGTTTAATGGGATTTTTGAGAATGACCACTCTTAGTTATCTTCATATTTCTTCAGACACACTTATTTAGCTCGGTAAATGATGTGTATTACATGATGTATCTTATAACAAATCCGATAATGGTGATATTATGTAGCTGATTTGATTTCAGAACTATACTGATTCTTTCCCTTGTTTACGCCACTGGTAACCTAATCATGGCCTTCACTGCTCTACCTCCTCCTGAATGGTATGTAGTTTACTGAATTGTAATATACATCTCTAATTATAACAGAATACCTGTAATATCACACCTGTCTTTACTAGGTACGGTCCAGCCATTGGCTTGATTCTCATTGGTCTTGGTACTGGAGGAATTAAACCAAACGTGTCATCATTTGGTGCTGATCAGTTTAGGGCAGACCAGGTAACTGTGTTCTTAGAAGCATGTAGTGAGGGGTTTTAAAGTTCTGATAACCCAAGATGATTAAAATCTATTGAGGGAAAACTGAACAAATATATGAGCATTGCGCAAGAAAATATTTTTTATTTTAAAAAAGAAAAAAAGTCTAAATATTCTACACTTTCGTAATCTCAGTGGTACATGTATATTTATGTGCTTTTGTAACTATTTTAGGAAAAAGAGAGATACACTTTTTTCTCTGCTTTCTACTTTTCAATAAACCTAGGAAGTATGCTGTCCATTGTTCTGACTCCAATATTGAGAGGTTTGTTGTTAACAGATTAGGTTCAAAATTTATGATCAATATTAAATGTAAGATAAGTGATGGATATGTATGTTAACATGCCTTGTGCCAGATTCCAGATTTCACAATTTCACTTTAAGTTTTTTAGCAAGATTTCTAATTCACTTGTATTTTGTAATTGTTTTCTTTGTCACAGCTGATGTTAAGTGTTATGGCAATGAATGTTATCCTTTAGCCTTTGGAATTCCAGCAGCTTTAATGATTTTAGCCACAAGTGAGTACAGAACGATCTGTGTAATGCCATGGAAAATAAAAGTAGGCATCTTTACTCACAGGGCTGTCTTAATCTCTCATTTAAAATCATTCATAATCATGCAGATTGTGTGAATTGATGTCATATAATAAATATATTCATTATTAAGAGACAATTTTTTAAAACTATTTATATTTTTCTTTAGTCATCTTTATTGCTGGAAGCAGCCTCTACAAGAAAGTGCCAGCCTCAGGAAATCTAATGAAAAGAGTGTTAAAATGCATATTGGTAAATTAGATTTGAGAGTTTGTAAGAGAATCTGTAAAATATAAATCTTTACAAAAGAACAAGAATTTGAAAGCATTCCTGCTGAGAGAAATATACTCCGTACTCTTTGTTGATTTCTGATTTGTCTTCTATCCTCATCTATTATTTGATTTATCATCTATCCTTCCGTTTTCTCTAAATCAGAGGTGATAAAAAATGAATATATCGTCTTTGTAAGGCTCATTATTATAACTGTATTTTAGAGGGACTTTGTTTTAATTCTACTGCTGGAAATCCAACATATACTCATAACTTAATTTCTAAGAATGAAATTCTTCAAAATCACGTTTCAGTGTTCAAAACTTCTAAAATCCCAGTGAACCAAAATGAGTTCGATCTACCCTACCTATACTGGATTCCTAAACTTCATATAAAAAAATCCCTACACACAAAGATACATTGCCAAGTCAAGCAAATGCTCTACCAAGACCCTATCTTTACTTCTTACAAAAATATTAACTGTTGTAAATGAGAACCTTCAGGCGTACTTTGCTAAGCATGTTTTAGAAGTGGTGTAAATCAGATGTGGATTCTCAAAAATGCCAAAGAACTTCAAGAAAATTTAAAATCACTAAATTTTTCTTAAACCAATAACATCAAAACGTACGACTTTTCTACACTTTATACAACCATCACTCAAGATGAATTTAAAACTAGGCTTTTTGATATTATATACAACTGCTTCTTCAATAAAATGGAACTCGGAAACTTTTGTGTCTTTTGATTGGTCATCAACAAAATTACTTTGTTAAAAATTTCAATGCAAACGTTCTCTGAAGTTGATAGTAAAAGGATGCTGGAGTTCCTTATTGACAACATTTTTTGTAGTTTTCGGAAACCATGTCTTCTAACAAACTGTTGGAATTTCGATGGGCACTAATTGCTCTCTTTTATTAACTTACTTTTTATATTTCCTATGAAGCAGAATTTATTCAAAAACTTCTACATGAGAAGAAGAAAACACTTCCTGTGACCTTTAACTCGACATTCAGAGATATATATATATATATATATATATATATATATATATATATATATATATATATATATATATATATATATATATATATATATATATATATATATATATTATGTCGACTCGATATTTCCCAGTGAACCTGAGATAAAAGACACCACAGAATCTGCCACATCTGTTTCATACTTGGATGTTTTACTGACGATAGATAAGGGTCAACTAACAACAAAATAGTATGACAAACGAGATGACTTCATTTTTTTCATCGTCAACTTTCCTTATTCATGTATAATATTCTGCTATCACCTGCATATGGTGTTTATATCTCCAAAATTCGATACTCAAGAGCATGCTCTGAATACGATCAATTTTTAAATCGAGGCAGGCAACTGACAGATAAGTTCATGTTACAGGAATTTTAGCAACCTTGTTTAAAGCATGCATTTCGTAAATTCTATGGTCGTCATAATGACCTTGTTTACAAATATAACCTATCACTGGGTCGTATTTTGGCTGACGTGGTTTATACCAATTGTAAGGCCTTTGTTTTTATACTAAATTTGACTACGGAATGTTCCATCTACCTGATCAAGGGCTCAAGGTGGTTGTAACCGGTTAATAGGGGATACTAACTCCTCCTAGGTACCCAATTCCACCTCTGGAATTTCTGGGGGTCTGTGTTTTGTGCTCTGTTCACAGATTTCTATTGTTTGCAGATTTTTTGAGATCGATCACTGTTCGCAATCTTCACTTTTTTCATTTTCTTAAATTTCCCCAGTGTGCTTGAATTCAATTTTGTCTCCATCTTTATCTGTAAAATGTCATATTTACGTTTTAGTAATTAGAGGATTGTTTTCCTTCAAATCAAAATATAAAATTAATTGATTGATGTTTCTGTTAAGTTTGTAAATTGTCATATAGTAGTGTTAGTGTCAGTTAACAACACATATCTCATTTCAGTATGGATTGTGCGGAAAGATGAGGAATTGTGGTGATCCTAATAAAAAGGAACACTGGCTGTATTACGCAGAAAACAAGTTTGAGGTTTGTATCTTTATCTTCTAGCTTATTTTATCAGCAGTTTCAGTAAACCAGCTTTTATTTATTAAACCTTTTATATGTAAATTTTTGAATTTCTAATTAAGTCTTCTCAATGTGAAATATGTCACATTGTGAGGAAATTTTTTTTTTCCAGAAAACTCGTTGATTACCTCTTGCACATGAACGTTTTTACGTCACATTTTAGGCGGGATCAGCTATCTTTTATGTTTTCGTCGTATTCGATAGTTACCGAATTGTTAAATCCACAGTGAGGGTATACAAAATTTATGCTAAATTTAATCGAAATTTACTTCCATTGCAAACATGGAAGCCAGTGCAAGGTATGTCATAAAAAATAAGGATATGACAAACATTTACAGTATTCTTGGGCATCATGCACTTTTCCGAACCCTTGGACTAAACTGTTTGCATTTAGACTTAAAGCTTCTGGCAAACAGTTTTGTTCTTGGGTCCGAGAAACGCATGTTGCCCAAAAACCCAGCCAATAAATATATTTTAGTTCATGGATCGATTTTGATTACCTGTGAAGATGTTTGTTTTATTTACAGTCAGACTTTATCAGAGAGGTACAGATTTTACTGAAGGTGCTTTTTATGTTTTTTCCTGCTCCATTTTTCTGGGCGCTTTCTAGTCAGCAGGGATCTCGCTGGACGCTTCAAGCTGAAAAACTCAATGGAGACTTGGTATGGATTATTTTACTCGTCATGTTCTAAAGAAGCTCATTTTTAAAATTCTTGAGCAGAAAATGCTCAAAGTATTTTGCTCAGATTCAGGATTTCTTAGTCATTGTTTTGCATTAAGGGCCCAGTATGAGAGAGGTATACACATGCAGTCATATTCTTTAAGTTTGTCTTAAACTATCCATGTATTTCAGGGCGTCTTTGGGACTCTAAAGCCTGACCAGATGTCTGCATTAAACCCATTCCTGATTTTAATCCTCATTCCAATATTTGAAAAATTAGTGTATCCATGTTGTGAAAAGTGTAACTTTCTTACAAGGTACCTGTATCTGTTTAAAATATTGTCTCTATTTGTACCAGTTCTCTTGTAACTAGATAAAAAAAACAATGTTTTTGTGAAGAGCAATAAATTCCTTATGTGTGTCACTGTCAATTTTACATTAGTTAAATGTTTATTTCCAGACCGCTACAAAGAATGTCGGCAGGTATGGTGCTAACTGTGATATCCTTCATTATGGCAGGGCTTCTTCAAATCAAAATAGAGGTCAGTTGTACTCATTTTATGAACTGAAATAGATATGTATATAGAGATGGAAATACTGGGAATATAGTGTCATAAACTTGAAAAATATAAGCAGAAAAAGATGCACACATATTAGTACATGTACATGTATGAGCAAGAGTCCTGGTTTAATGTATAAACTGAAATACTTCTTATATTTTATATAGCGAACATGTATACATTTGAATTGTAATTTGACATGTGCTCTGTATATGTAAGATCAAAGCAGAATGTGACAACTTGTATGCTTAATCAACTAAAGATTTAACCCTGCACTATGACTCTTTTATATTTAACAATGATTATTTCCATTCTTATGTCGACACGGTATATCCCGGTGAGCTTTAGATAAAAGATACCACAGAGTCTGACACATCTGTTTCATATTTGGATGTTTTATTAGAAAAAGACGTTAATGGTAATATAACAACAAAAGTTTATGATAAACGCGATGACTTTAACTTTTCAATCATCATCTTCCCTTACTTATGCAGCAATATACCCTTATCACCTGTATACGGGGTTTATATCTCTCAGTTGATCCGATATGCCAGAGCATTCTCTACGTATGAAAAATTTCTAATATGAGGCAAGTTATTGACAAACAATCAGCAGTCTCGTTTAAAGTTATCATTTCGTAAGTTCTATGGTCAATACAATGACCTTGTCAGCAAATACAATCTATCATTAAGTCAAATGCTGACTGACTTTTTTCATACTAATTGTTAGGCCATTATTTACACACTGAATTGTCGACGGATTTTTCCGTTATTTCCCGATCATGACAAGGAGCACACGGCGGGTGTGACCGGTCGACAGGGGATGCTCACTCCTCCATGGCACCTGATCCCACCTCTGGTGTCTTAGAGGTTCGTGTTTGCTCTGCTCCTATTTTGTAATGATTGATGGACTTTTGAGCTCGAATACTGTTTGTTATCTCCACATATTTCATTGTAGATATTGACGAATTATTTATCAAATTGTAGACAAGTTTAGAATCTCCATTAAAAGATACAGAGTCAGGGATATCCTTCTACAATGCCTTACATTGTGATATAAATATAAAAATGGGAGGGACACTCAGCTATAAAATAGCTCCCTACGAGGTGAGAATATACTGGCAGTCAGTGGCAAATGAAAATGCTTCATAAAATAAAATAAACAAAAAATGTTCAATACCCCCGGTATTCCTTTGTAATGAAAAAAATATACTACATGTATAAACCAAGAAGTTTTAAAAGATACTTAAGTAATTTAATCCTCATTTTAATATTTCTTTCAGAAGAGTGATTACAAGGTGATAACTGCTGGTAAATATAAAGTTGACGTGAAATCGTGTCTTCCTTCTGTTTCTCGTGAAATGTCATTGGTACCTCTAAATGCCACCAGGATATTTGTTTGGTCTAAACACAGCAATACAACTGATATAAAGATAGTGAGTTTAAATCTTATATATATCATAAAAAGATTTTTTTGTGATTGTCAAATTTCTTTAGAAGTTTGCAGCATTGCCAAAATTCTGATTCATTATCTTTGAAAATTTGTCTTTTTCCGCTGAATGAATGTACATATATATGTAGTAAATCATGGCAATGTAGCAAATCCCCAGTGATGACTGAAACTGCTTCTCTACTTTACATCTGTAAATCATTATATTCTGTAAAATAAATTGTTGATTTTTCGCAAAGAAAATATTACTTCGTTAAGAATGAATTTGCTTTGTGTTCATCAGAAACATTCTCTTTACTGTACATATGAGGATGACATTTTAGCTCACTTGAGCCGAAGGCATAAATATGTTTGTTGAGATCATAACCCCCTTCCCTGCCCCTCTCACGGTAGAATGGAACCACTTATATATTTAAATTCTTCAATACTGAACTGATTTCTGCTTTTCTATAACCAAAGTGCTCATGTGAGTGATGTGGCCCATCCCTAACAGAAATGCTACAGTAAATTATAGTTAACTATAGCATCAAAGTTTTACCATAGTAAATAAAATATAACCAAAGTGCTCATGTGAGTGATGTGGCCCATCCCTAACAGAAATGCTACAGTAAATTATAGTTAACTATAGCATCAAAGTTTTACCATAGTAAATAAAAGTATTTTTCTGTAACTGTCAAATTGTTATATTTCATATTCTCAAATTCTTACATTCAATCCATGAAGTATTACTTGTATGTTCACAAATTATTTCTAAACGTTACTTCATTGATACTGAAATTTAGAGATATAAAGGCCCGGACTTCAAAAAAGTTCTAGAGTAAAGATATGTAGTTAATCAATAGTAATTAAAAAAAGGTGAAGATTTTTGTTTGTTTTTGTTTGTTTGTTGTTTAACATCCCTCGCGAGAATTTTTACTCATATGGAGACGCCAGAACTTGCCGGTGGAGAGCTGCAAATTTTGACCTATACTCGGCACTCAGGGCCATTGAGCAGTGAGGGATCTTTTTCTTGGCAGTACATGGCTACTGCGATACGGGACCTCCGTTTATATGGTCTCATCCGAAGGACCGGTCTCCACGTCCCACAGTGGGATTCGAACCCGCGATGTAAGGATCAACTCCTTACTCCGCGACTCTAGAGCAGACTCTCTAACCACTGCGCTACACGGGCGACTAAAAACAAATAAAAAAATATCATAGTCAACAACAGTAAATTTTTGTTAGGGATGGGCTTCTTGTTATTTATGTCAACTTATTTTTTTTCAGGTGGATGATTTTCATTCACATCCCTCTGATGGGAATTCAAAGCTAAGGTATACTGTTTGTTTGTTTGCTTTACATTTTTTGTATTGGGATACCTCCCAGAGGAAGGCTGCAAATTTGGACCCATACTTCGGAGTATGGCCTTGAATCTTTTTTTATGCCAGCATTTACTGCAATGATATGTATAGAGATAACGAACAGTATTCAAGCTCAAAAGTCCATTAAACAATACAAATTTTGGAGCAGAGCAAACACGCACCTCTAAAACATCAGAGGTGGGATCATGTGCCATGGAGGAGTGGGCATACCCTGCCGACCAGTCACACCCGCCATGTGCTCCTTGTCATGATCGGTTAATTACGGAAAAATCCGTCGACAATTCAGTGTGTAAATAATGACCTAACAATTAGTATGAAAAACGTCAGTCAGCATTTGACTTAATGATCAATTGTATTTGCTGACAAGGTCATTGTATCAACCATTGAACTTACGAAATGCCGATTTTACACGAGACTGCTGATATTATTGTTTCATCAAATTGTTTGTCAGTAACTTGAAACAGATGTGTCAGACTCTGTGGTATCTTTTATTTTAAGCTCACTGGGATATATCGTATAGACATACGAATGGAAATAACCATTGTTAATTGACAGTACGTCGTCGATATATCTAAAAGTCGAGTTGAAGGCCACAGCAAGTGTTTTCTTCTTTTCACGTACAAGATTTTGAACAAATTCTGCTTCATATGAATACAAAAATAGGTCTGCCAATAACGGGGAGCAATTGGTACCCATGGGAATTCCAATGCATTCAAAGGGCCAATTTCCTTTCCAGTAGTGGGATATGAACTCTCAAAGTCACCTCCCTACTCCGTGAATCTAGAATGAAGTGAATTCTTTGTTATAATCAATGCACCATTGTATATCATATGTTTATGATAGCAGTGTAAGAAAATATGTTAAATCTTTTCGTGCTCTTATCGCCAGTTACTATGAAAACCTTGTATATCTTGTCGTTTCCAAGATTTGTCTTTCTTGCTAGATCATAAATTATTATGAAATGTAAGAAAAAGAAGTAATTTTCTTTTTGTTTAGCGTATTAAATGGCGGAGCTTTGCCTGGTGCTCAGGTAGTTGTAGTCCACTCAAGTCATCAAGGGAATATTTCCAATCAGTCGGGGGTTTTCTATCCTTCTTCAGAGCAAGAAAGACTTTCATTCCATACAATTGCACCTGGAAGGTAAGTTTTTTTAAAAAATTAAACTTCTTTAGGTACATCATCTCTCTGACATGAAATATAACTCTAGAACATTTAAACAGTTACATGTGTTTATGAAGTATATCCTGGATAAAATTATTTCTCTGACATTTTTACTGGACTGACATGTTTTTATGTAAAATCATAATTTCAAAGTGAAAATTTAAATGTTTTAAAGATAAATATACTAAATGTACATGTATTACAGGGTAATAAAAGATGCAATACTTTCAAACTTTTATTTTTACTCATCATTGAAAATGAAAACTGATTGTGATTACCAAAGTTAACTTTGTTTTATTAGTATTTTTGTCACGTTTTAACTCGGATATTCTGATATTTCTTTAGGTACAAAATATACTGGCAGGACTCAGCCAAAGGGAATTGGACCAAGCTTAACAGCTCCATCACCATAGGACAAGGGGCTGTGTATAATTTATTAATAGCCAGAAATGAAACAAAGGTAAATAGCAATTTTTGTCAGTGTAATATGTTTCAAAATACATGTACATTATACTGGTAATTATAAGTGTTGAACTTAACACTTTTCAATTGAATTGTTGTCCAGTGAAGAGATTAACAGTGTCTTTAGGCAGTGGATGGCACCTCAGTATTTCATTGATTTTTTACGCATTTCCTACAGATATTCCCAAACTGTCGCTCCAAACTTTTCAATTATGAAGAAACCTTTCAGTGCCAAGATACTGAACATCTAAAACAAAATACCCTTAAGTGTTCTTGCTTATCTCTTCTTTCAACTATGATAACGCTGCACACATCATTACTGGTTATGTTAATGTAGTTGAGTATGACGTCCAAAAAGCAATGATTATCATTTTTAAAAGGTCCTAAACACAGGAAGCCCCGATAGTTCAGTTGGCGACAGAACTTCACTGCTAAAATGAATTCTGCCAAACGTTGGGCAAAATGTGAAAGGGATGACCTAAACACTTTGTCAGATTGGATTAAATGTTTTAGAAATATATTAAAGAATCGTGTTAGAAAGTTTAAAGGCAATATGCGAAACTGGTCCTTTGAATCCTTCCGGTTTCAACAAATCGGAGGTGATAAAAGAATTAGAAAGACTACATGAACAATATGTTATGGTTCTAGCCTGCAAGGCATGTAACAATGTCTTCTTTGTTGTAAGGTTCATTATTATATTTGTATTTAAGGAAAAAAAGTTAGCTTATTTGCTAACATTATCCTTATAACGACCATTTTTAGTGAAAATCGAAGGATAGATTAATTTTTGGCATACTGCCTTTTAACTTTCTAACTCGATTCTTTAATATATTTCTTAAACACTTAATCAATTCTGACAAAGTGTTCAGGACTTCCCTATCATCAACTCATATTTTGTCCAACGTTTGGTATCACTAATTTAGGTTGTGACCCGTCTCTTGACCAGTGTAGAGGTTAACAGTGTCTTTATCCTGTGGATGGTTCCTCAGTATTCTTTAGAATATTTTTTATGCCTATTTTAGGTTGTGACTCATGTCTTGTCCAGTATAGAGGCTAACAGTGTCTCTATTCTGTGGATGGTTCCTCAGTATTTCTTTAGTTAGATCTTTTTATGTCTATTTTAGGTTGTGACCCGTCTCTTGACCAGTGTAGAGGTTAACAGTGTCTCTATCCTGTGGATGGTTCCTCAGTATTTTGTGGTGACTGTTGGAGAAGTCCTATTTTCCATCACAGGCCTCGCTTTTGCATACTCTCAGGTTAGTATCCAGTGGTGAAAAAAGGAATTGTAAGAAAACTGTCGAATTTTTTTTTTCATTTCTGATGAAGAATGGTCAGGAAAGCCTAGTTATATGGCATTCGCTTCGTAATCGTTAGGCCTGGGATTCGAGTCCCATTTGACGCGCCACGCCAAATCGAAGACGGAAATAGATAGTGACTGTTCCTTTGTCAAGCGCCCGGCACTTGAAGTGAAAGTCGCGGGTCTTTCAGATGAGACCTTTAAAACTAAGTCACGGTAGGCGTTAGCAAAATGAAGAATCCTTACTTCTCAATAGCCCTGAGTGTAGGTCTTAACTTCTTCACCATTATATGGTGACCTCTCTATATGAGCGATAAATTCTCAAATGAGATGTAAAACAACATGCAATCTATCAATCATATCTGACAATTTAAATTCAAAAAAGAATTTTTTATTTATATATTTTAGCATGTATTACATGTGTTCCCGAAGACAAAGATCAGAGAAACAGAAAAGCATGATACTGCTTTATGTTTATCTGACTGTTAATAGGCCCATATCACAATAAAGTCTCAGGCATCACTGTTTTTATTCATTGATCTTTTTCAGGCCCCTACTACAATGAAGTCAGTGGTTCAGGCAGCCTGGTTGATGACTACAGCTATAGGAAGTTTAGTTGTTGTTATTGTAGTGCAAGTTCAATACTTTACATCACAAGTAAGATTCTTTTTTGATATTGACCCTTGTTATGACAATGGATTAAAAAAAAAATTCTTTCAACAAAGAAGGGGTGAGCTTTTAGAACCGAGGCATGGGCCCAAATTTTCAAATCAAAATTTTTTTATCTCTGCGATTCTAAAACTGAATGCCCCACCCTTTCTAAACTCACTTATCAGCAGTCTTACTTCAGATTCTGTATCCTACCGACACATGTACAATTATATTTTCTCGTTGAGTGATAAGGACAGTCAGAATCTATTGATCAAAATATACATGGTTGTTATATTTGACTTGGAACTATCAGATTTATGTTGGATGATGCATCTGAACTATATTATCTGGATGATTGACTAGGTTTATAGAGCAAATTTCCTAAGTAAAAATAAGTGACCGGTCAGCAGGGGATGCTCACTCCTGTATGGCACCTGATCCCACCTCTAAATTTTGAGGTCCGTGTTTGCTCTGCTCCAAATTTGTATCGTTTCATTGGACTTTCGAGATTGAATACTGTTCGTTATCTTCATATTTCACCCTACCTAGACCAGATGTGCATCACTGATTCGACTACAGATGCATACCTTCTGTTGTACTCTGTATGCTACGTCTTACTACCATTTCATTTACATAAACATTACCAGATTTGTTTCGGATGCTGAATCTCAACAACACTTTCCAGATGAAGGATCAGGTTAAAGTTTTTGGAACAGGTCCTTTCCCAATTAACTATAAGCCCTACCTGGACCAAACTTGCAGGGATGAAGCATGTAGGGATGGACCAAAAAAACTTGCTTCGGATGCTGGATCTGACCTACAATATCCAGAGAAGTGAACAGTTTAAAGTATTTGGAGCTTGTCCATTACCAAGTAACTATAAGACCTTCCTGGACCAAACTTGGATGATGCGTCTAGAGATGGACACTACCAGACTTGCTTCAAACACTGGATATTACCTACATGTTCAGGATGAGTGACTAAGTTAAATGTTTTGGAGCAGATCGATTCCCAAGTAACCTTTATCCCTACCTGGGCCAAACCTACAAGGATGATGTATCAAGAATTGCACACTACCAGACCTGTTTCAAATGCTGGATCCGACCTACATTCTCAGATAAGTGACTATAAGCCCTACCTGGACCAAACTTACAAGGATGGACAGTATTAACCCTTCTTCGGATGCTGGATCGTACCTACACTTCTGGATGAGTGACCAAGTTGACGATTTTAGAGCAGATCCATTCCCAAGAAACTATAAGCCCGACCTAGATCATGCATGTACTTTCATGGATGATGCATCTAGAGATGTTTATTAGCAGGCTTGCTCCAGATGCTCGATCTGAAATACATTTTCTGGATTTCTGGAGCAGGTGCATCCTCAAGTAACGCTATGTCATACTGAAACCAAACTTGCATGGATATTGATTTTTGGATGCACACTTACTTGAAAAAAAAAATTGATGTGAGATTTGCCTTACTTATACACCCCTACTAATGTGTTCAGAACATTTTACTTTCCGGTGTTTTGCAAATCATAAAACCCGAGGAGTTCCCAGTAGCTCTCACAGTAGCTATGGCGAGATCTAGCGAGACTACAACGAGATAAGGTAAATTATTCACGGAAATGTGGCTAGGAAGTGACTAGCACGTGGAGACATGGTAAACAGAAAAGTTATCTTGCGTTTTATTTTTCGCTACTGAATAATATCTGTAGAAATGCACTTCAATCACTCTTGAATTCATTCAAACGTCAAAAAGTATTCTTCCTGACATTATTTTCTGCACTTATGTATTAAAATTTCTTTTTGGACAAATATGCTTGTATGGGAACTGGAACTATACTTTTTGGCGTTAGATAAGCAAATGGGGAACCAATATATCTTAATCTGAATCAGTTGAATTGCATTGTGGGATACTACGGATACTGCAGGAATTTTACGCTTGAAAAAAAAAAAGCAATGTAAGGAAAGTCACATAGAACATTTCTTCCATGCATTTCCATGCTGTCCATTTTTATTCTATTATTTCCATACTCACAATTACAAATAATTCATTTGTAACATGTTAAATAAACTGGGAATTCTAGGTTTCTCAAAGTCATACTGTAAGGCGATTTTCATCTGCATTCCTTTGTTGTACTATCGGTGAATACAATTGTCAGATTGGTTCCCTGACCAAAAAGTACAGAAGATCACGGGTATTGTGATATAAAAAAAACTTTATTGTCCATTTTACTGTGTAAATGCCTAAGGGATGCTGCTCGTCTTCCTTACCTTGAAGCGCTAGTGTTCTGAACTTGGCATGGACTACATTTTTTTATACGCATTTTCTAGTAAACAACAAATTACAAATGCCCGTGGCATCTTTCTTAGTTTCTACTCTTTGTATTTTTTTCATATAAACATTTTTTATATATTTATTTATTTTATTTATTTATCTATTTATTTATTTTTGAAATCCATCGTAGATTGAGTTGAACCACATGTTCGAAGTAAAATGTAAACACATAGTGTCAAGTTAACGTTGCTATTCATTCAATGATTGGTCAATTGTTGGTGGTAAGATCCTCTGTGCGCATTAATAACAAAAGCCATAAAAGGTAAACTATGGACAGACAAGATTATAATTTGTTAAGTAAGAATAATTATTATAATTTTTAGGCGAAATAAAAATAATGTGTGTAGAACATTATAATGTGTCCACATTGACTGGCAAGATTATAATTGTGAAGTGTGAATAATTATTATTTTAGGACAAAATAAAAATAATGTGTACACGTTTGACAGACAAGATTATAATTGTTGCAGGAAAAATAATAATGTTGTAAAAAAAAAAAAAAAAAAAAAAAAAAAAAAAAAAAAAAAAATTATTTTTGGAAGAGATAATTATTTTTGGTACAGTGTATAATTACATGTATATAGGAAAAATAATAATGTGGGGTACCCTACGGCTTTCCATAGTAAACAGATGTCATATACATTTTTTTCTACCAGCGTATCGGGCGATTTTGGAAAAAATTAACACTACTACATGTACTTAACTCCAATTTTCGCCGTAAATTACCACAAAAGCGAAGATTAATTAAGTAGATGATGCTTTTTTTTTATATCCCACCCATTTCTGTTTAAAATCTTGAAAATCTATCAGAAAGTTTCTAAAAGAAACAGATTATAGTAATTTCCTTTTTACTGCCAATTTTATTCATAAAACCGGTTCTACCCTATAACCTTTAAATGGGTCAACCTACACCACATGCCTTGAATTTAAATCACAATAACATTAGTAGGGGTGTTATAGATAACAATCATTGAGGTGAACTTTGTAATCTTTGATTACCTATTTTTCATAGATAACATATCAAGATGAGATCTGTTATGATTGATAACTTTTATTAACTTGTATGTAAAGCTGAGAATTTCTTTTTTCAAATAAGTGTTATTTCGACTATTTTTTCCACTATATCAGCTGTGATTTTTTACAGGTGGCTGAGTTTATGTTCTTTGCTGCTCTGATGGCTTTGGGTACCATAATGTTTATGGTCATGTCCTGTTTTTATACTTACTATAATACAAGTTGTCTGGATGATAGAGAAGATTTAATCACCAAGGAAGATAATGGAGACATTCCACTGAACGATTCTAATCATCCTAAAAATAAGTGAGCGTTCAGATACCTTTGCACACTTTTCTTTTGGTCTCTCCTGAATGGTCCTGAAATTAATTATTCGTAAAAAGTAAACACAATTGTGCTTGTGTGTGTCAGTTATATCATTTTCAACAGTGAAATACATATGTACTGTAATTTATTTCTTAAATAAAAGTGATATTTTGTCACAGTGTGAAACTCAAAGAATATCAATATGATATTTTGTCACAGTGTGAAAGAATATCAGAAGTGCGGCATTAGATTTTCCTTCCTTTCACAAAGAGTGTTGTGAAAAAGATTCTCTGGCCTTTTATAACGTAAAGAAAGAAAATAAATCAATCAGAAAGAGACTAAAACTTCCAAGTTGCTCCAAATATGTTGTTGAATTCCATTTTTACAATCTCACAATCACTAAATTATGACGTTTCAAACTCTCAACAATTACGTCACAGCCTTTGACACTGTGTTACGAAAATAGAGGCAATTTTAAAGGAAAAATAAAAGAAAAGTGATATACAGAAATTCCAATATTTTATGCCCCGCCATGAATATGCCCGGGGCATATAGTATTTGTCATGTCCGTCTTTCGTCCTTCTGTCCTTCCGTCTGTCCTTCCGTCACACTTTGCGTATAGGTCTGTTCAAAGCTCAGTTTCAAAGAAACTATCCAAGATATTTTTATCAAACTTCATATGCTGATAGATATTGATGAGAGCTATGCAGCTGCATCAACATTTTTTGACCTTGACCTTTCCTTTGACCTTGACCTCACTTTTTTTAAAATTAGTGTTTAGCTCAGTTTTAAAGATACCATTCAAGAGAGTGTAATCAAACTTCATATGTTGATACATACTGATGTAAGGTATTCAACTGCATCAACATTTTTTGACTTTGACCTTTCTTTTGACCTTGACCTCATTTTTTTTAAATTAGTGTTTAGCTCAGTTTTAATGAAACAATTCAAGATATTTTTAACAAACATCATATGCTGATACATACTGATGAGAACTATTCAACTGCATCAATTTTTTTACCTTGACCTTTCCTTTGACCTTGACCTCACTTTTCTTAAATATGTTTTAGCTCAGTTTTAAAGATACCATTCAAGATAGTGTTATCAGACTTCATATGCTGATACATACTGATGAGAGCTATTCAACTGCATCAACATTTTTTGACCTTGGCCTTTCCTTTGACCTTGACCTCACTTTTCTTAAATTAGTGTCAAACTGCTTACACATACTGATGAGAGCTATTCAACTGCATCAATATTTTTTTTACCTTGACCTTTTCTTTGACCTTGACCTCATTTTTCTTAAATTAGTGTTTAGCTAAGTTTTAAAGAAACCATTCATAATATTTTTATCAAACTTCATATGCTAATACATACTGATGTAAGCTTTTCAACTGCATCAACAATTTTTGACCTTGACCTTTGCTTTGACCTTGACCTCACTTTTCTTAAATTAGTGTCAAACTTCATGTGCTGATACATACTGATGTAAGCTATTCAACTGCATCAATATTTTTTCACCTTGACCTTTCCTTTGACCTTGATCTCACTTTTTTCAATTTGTGTTAAAATGTTGCATTACTAATATACCCTCGGCTGGGCATTCATGTCCTATGGATATATTTCTAGTTTAGTTAAATATGGAATTTTTTTGATTTAAATATAAAAAAAATCCTGTCCAACTCGTGAAATAAATTGCATATCCAACTACAAAATATTGAATATTTTCTATATATATTCTTAATCTATATGAGATTTTTCCTTTGTGTCTTTTCTGGTTTATTTAAAGATATAAATATTTTCTAAATATAATATTTATATAAATGCAAGCAAAATCTTTAAAATTAATAAGGGAACCCGATTACTGAAATAGGACTTCTTATATTTGGTAGATAAAAATGTTCACAAACTGTTCCCAAAAAATTTTGTTCTGAAAGTGAAGAGTTCGGATTATTTGAATCCGGATTAACGAGGCTCCACTGTATACGTACATCTATATAAATCTTTAATACTGGTAGATTCACAATGGTGCAATAATATTTATATGTATACTTTTTAAACTATTGTTTTATAAAGAGTTTAATACTAGTATTGAAGGTTGAAATGAAATCATATTATTACTGTACAGATGAAATCTTAGCATGTCATTTTCTTTTAATCAAAGTAGCAGGTGGAATAATCTGTTTGCAGAATAAAAATGCTTTTTTTTTCAAATAAACCGATGTTTCTTTGATTCTTTGTACTTGTAACTTGTACAGTCTGAAAAACTATAATTTACCTAAAGTCCGAGGGTTGTTCGAAAAGTTCGTGGACTTGCGTCATATCTTTTTTATTTAACGTCATATGTTATCCAAATTTGGTAGAAATATTTTAACAAGAAATTTAAATGATTTGTATTAAATTTTTCAAAAATATCATGATTTATTTAAAACTTATCCATAATTAAAAACTGCAAAAATCGGATCGCGGCGCAGGTCAAACTTTAGTAATTTACAAATTATACACTAAATAATGTCTGTAGTCATCTTCTCTGTAAAATGGAGCAAAAACGTAAAAATCCTAGACAGTTAAATTAAGAACTGTTACATCGATTCGCATTCCAAATTATGGCTTAATATTTTGCTTCGGTAAAAAGAAATCAATTTGAGAAGATAGTTTGTCCTCATTGAAAACGACAAAAACGATGACGATGTAGAACGTCACGGAGCAGCAGATAACGATGCAGTTTTGTGTTATACTCGGGGGAAAATCCTGAATAAACGCTAAAAATGTTAGGGGAATCAGAAAAAATGCCACAAGCGAGTAGTGCATGTGTGTGTAAATGGTAGAGGCGATATTTGAGAGACAGAGACTCTGTACCGGACGAGGACAATCTGTGAAGAAACGGTTAAACTGTAAAAATCTGAACGAAAACTTTTTAAAGTTGGGACGTCATGGAAAGACGTAGGCGCTTCAGAGTTGCTGATCTTGTGAAAGCACAGTTAAGCGTTAAAAGAAATTAAACATTAACAAAGGAAATTATAAAATGAGAACAATTGTTAGAAAAATAAATGTCAAGTGATTGAAAAAGGTTTTTAATACCCTGGGTATTGGACTATACTGTGTGAATGTATAGGGATAGAATTTTTAAGAAACTCTTGACGCTATGTTTTTGACGTTATATTGCTTTTAAGCGTGCGCCGTGGTTACAAGACATGTTGATTTTAAAATGAATTAAATTAATTTCTATCAAATCGAATGGAATGAAATTTCACAGATCAACCAAACAAATATTTATACACATGATATTGTGCTTATTTTAAATTTCTTTGAAGTAGTATAACAAAGATTGACATCGTCCACGAACTTTTCGAACAACCCTCGTACAGTATGTCAGAATCTCTGAAGTAAGTGACTGTATTAACAAGATGTGTTTATGAAACACTGATGCCCCCGTATGGCAGCTTATGGCGAAGGTTAAAGTTTCTTCAAATGCAAGTCAAAATCCAGGCCAAAAGATAAAAAAATGTTGATACCCTAAGAAAGGTCTTGTCTCGAGGAATACACCTGTGAAATTTGAAAGACCTAGATACAACTGTTCAAAAGTTATGGCGAAGGTTAAAGTTTTTTTAAATAAAAGTCAAACGTCAAGGTCAAGGTCAAAGTGGTTGGTATCCAAAGGAAGATCTTGTCACAAGGATTACATATGTGAAGTATGAAAGCCCTAGCACCAACCATTCAAAAGTTATGGCCAAGGTTAAAGTTTTTCAAAAGAAGGTCAAACTCCTAGGTCAAGGTCAAAGGGTCAAAGTGGTTGATATCCAGAGGAAGGTCTTGTCACAAGGAATACACATGTGAAGTTTGAAACCCTAAGCACCAACTCAAGGTCAAAAGGTCAAAGTTGTTGGTATCCAAAGGAAGGCCTTGTCACAAAGAATACACATGTGAAGTTTGAAACCCCAAGCACCAACTGTTCAGAAGTTATGGCCAAGGTTAAAGTCTCATAAAATTTTGCAAAAGTGGGTCAAACTCCAAGGTCAAGGTCAAAAGGTCAAATATGATGGTACCCAAAGAAAGGTCTTGTCACAAGGAATACACATGTGAAATATGAAAGTCATAGCTCCAACCAATCAAACGTTATGGGCAAGGTTAAAGTTGACAACAGACAAACAGACAAACGGACAAACAGATAAACAGACAAACAAACAGACAGGACAAAAACAATATACCCCCGGGATCTTTCGATCCGGGGGGGGGGGGGCATAAAAATATGCAACGTAGAATTAGTGTTCAAATGTAGAAGTGAATAGAAGTGTCCAAATGTTTAGAAGTGTCCAAATGTTTAGAAGTGCCCGAATGTAGAAGTGTCCAACTATAAAAGTTTCCAAATGAATGTACAAGTGTCCACATATTGAATTGTCTAAACGTAAAAGTGTCCAAATGAATGTACAAGTGTCCAAATGTAAAAGTGTCCAAATGAATGTACAAGTGTCCAAATGAATGTAGAAATGTCCAAATATATACAGATAGATGATCTTATTCACCTGTAAGTTATTGTTTGGCTTTAAGCATCCTTTTATCGACCCTCTCTACGGCATATTATTATCAGTTCAAATTTTCTTTATATTTTATTAGACCAAGATGAAGCAACTGAATACTTCACATGCATGCATTTTACCCATTTAAGTACGCAACAGTGATTTCTGTTCATCAATACTTTGTTGTATTTGAACTTTTTTCTTAGGGCAGATTGCAAGGTACCCTGTCTTGAAAATGAATTAGATCAACTCAATATCTTCACCTCTCTACCATATAATTTTCTTAAAGGCCAAACAAACGTTTGTCCGTTTTTTATAGAGGGTACTTAATATATCTGTTGATGTTAGAAATACAAATAAATTTATGTTAAATGTTGAGACTAAATATTTTTACCACCTGAACCTCATTGTATCTCGAACATTGACGAAAAATTTTAAAATCAAAGTGTTTCTAGTAAAGTCTTAAATTTGACTCAGTTTGATGTATTTGTTGGTCTGCAATAATAATAATCAAGATACAGAGGTTCAGCTGGATTAACTATGATTAATTATTATTATTAATCTTAATGCTACATTATAG